TGGTTTTTTCCACTCAGCGGACAGGAGTGGAGGAGCAGGAGCATCTGGTAGAGGAGGAGGAGGAGGAGGAGACAGAGGACCCAGACGCACCGTGGCAGTATGCTGTGGAGATGGAGGCAGGGAGTTTCTCGCATTCCTTGGCACAAATGGCCCATAGCATGCTCGGTTGCTTGCGTAGCGACAGCCAAATAATAACCATCAGACAGAGGGATGACTTTTGGCTGTCCACCTTGTTGGACCCTCGCTACCGTTCAAAAATGGTGGCCTTTTTCACACCTGCTGAGAGGGAGGCCAAAATAACGTACTATAAAAACCACCTATGTAGTCAGTTGGTCTCTGCCTTTCTGCGCCAATGTCCATCCTCAGACACTGTGGGCCCTGTGCGCTCGCGTTCCGCTGCCATGGCAGCAGGGGAGGGGTGGGGTGGTAGGAGCAGTGGCAGCTCCACCAGCAGCGGCTGCCTCAGTCTGCAGTCGATGATGAGTAGCTTTCTTCACCAGCGCAGTGAGGAAACTACTAACCAGCCGCAGCAGCAGCAGCATTAGGTGGACCTGGAGCAGGAGCTCAAACAACAGGCTTGGGCCTACTTGGACAGCACCCTGCCAACCGAGGTAGACAATCCCCTTGACTACTGGGCAACGAAACTTGACCTTTGGCCCCAACTAGCTGAATTTGCCCTTGAAAGGCTGTCATGCCCGGCCAGTAGCGTGGCATCGGAGCGCGTGTTTAGTGCGGCAGGAGGTATTGTAACTCCGGAGGACACGACTGTCCACCCAAAGTGTGGAGAGACTGACGTTTGTGAAAATGAATCAGGCGTGGATTAGTCTGGATTTCAAACCACCAGTTCCTGACACAACTGACTAAATCCGCCATGAATCATGCCCCAAACATGTGCCACTTTCAAGTCTCCTCACACTGCTGGTGTGTTGAATTTTTTGACATAGGGTGCTGGCAGATTACGGGCCTCCTCATGCTGCTGCCAGGCCCCTAATCTGCCATAGGCCCCTATATACCACCTCCTCATGCTGCTGCCAGGTCCAGAGTCTCTCATGGGTCCCTGTACGGCCTCCCATTGCTGCTGTCTCCATCGCCACACTCTGCCATGTGCCACTTTCAGGTCTCCTCACACACTGCTGGTGTGTTGAATTTTTTGACATAGGGTGCTGGCAGATTACGGGCCTCCTATAGCTGCTGCCAGGCCCTAATCTGCCATGGGCCCCTGTACCGCCTCCTCATGCTGCTGCCAGGTCCACAGTGTCTCACAGTGTATACTGGCAGGTTATAAGTGGGAAGAGGGGTACAGATGGCTGTCCTTGGATGTGGTATCATTATACACGTCCATTAAACATGATCATGGTCTCCGAGCCATTCAGTATTTTCTAGCCAAAAATTCACCACTCCATCACACACAAATCCAATTTCTATACAACTGCATTGAGTTTGCCCTAGAGCACAATCATTTTTCCTTTCTGGACAAACACTATCGCCAGATTCAGGGCACCGCTATGGGCGCAAGATTTGCTCCTAGCTATGCAAATATCTTTATGGGATACTGGGAAAACAACTATATCTGGACGAATAATCCCTACAGTGCAAACCTTATCCTATATGGAAGGTATATTGATGATATTATCATCATCTGGAATGGTACAGATTCCCAGCTGGATGGGTTCCTTAAACACTGTGGAAACAATCCGTATGATATCTCATTCACTCATGTGATTGATGATGATAATCTAGTGTTTTTAGACCTAGAACTAAGACATGATATCAATGGCCAGATATGCTCAAAAACACATTTCAAACCTACAGCGGGTAACTCATACTTACACGCCAAGAGCAACCACCATCCCCAATGGATCCGTAATGTTCCCTTTGGACAGTTTTGTAGGTTACAACGCACATGTACTATGGAAAAAGACTACATAGAACAAAGTCTGATCCTTAAAAAGAAATTTGAGGAGAAAGGGTATGATGTACAGCTTATTGATACAGCTTTTAATAAATATCTAGCCCTTTATGATAGCAATCCCACAGACTCTATTGACACGGAAACTGGCCCTAACTCTAAGACCACCACTGGCACTTACAAGAATAACGAAGTACGTTTTTGTACTAGATTTAGCAACAAAGCCTGGGACATCAAACACATTCTGTCCAAAAATTGGAACATTTTAAAAAACGATCCAACTCTAGGAAACGCACTCCCAGATAAACCTACACTAATCTTCAGGAAACCTAGAGACCTCAGGAGCATAATAGCGCCAAGTAGAGTACGCAAAAGTAATTACCAGCCGACATCTAACCCGAGTCCGTGGTCAGTGTTATTTGACCAAAAGGGTAGCTACAGATGCAGTGTTCCCAACTGTGGTACGTGTGGAGTCATATGGCATCGAAAAAAAGATTTCCTGAGCACAGACGGCAAAAGATATCCCATCAAACAGTTTATAAACTGTGGGACGTCTTTTGTCATCTACGGCCTAATCTGCCCTTGTGGCCTACTATATGTAGGCCGGACCTCGCGGTGCCTAAGGACACGCATCAGCGAGCATAAAAGCAACATAAAATTGGTAAAAGATAAATACTCAGCCCCCGCCATTTTAAAGAAAAACATCAGAGTAATTACGATGGATTGAAAGTCTTCGGAATTGAGGCAAATTACAAAGGACTTAGATAGTGGGAGGAGATACCAAGAGCTCTGCAGAAGAGAAAGTTTTTGGATCTTTACATTGGGTACCTTGTCTCCTAGAGGTTTAAACGATGACCTTGAGATTCATACTCTCATCTAGCCACTAGGTAGTGCAAATACAATTAGTTTATCTCTACTTTTTTCCACATTTTTTCATTCTGCGATTTATTATATCAATCATATCTACTAATACATATACTGCTGCCATCAGGAATGTGTTGAGTGTAAGGAATGTGGTCACCTATTACTAGCCCTGACAATAATGATCTTTCATCCTACTATACCATACTACAAGTACACATATGGTCCCTTCAGTAGTTTGGTGCTAACTAGTGATTCCCTAAGACTGTTAACATACTGCAAGCCCACGGTTCATTGATCTTTTAAATGTATAGATATGAAGTCTATCATATCTTTATATATTTTGTGCATGTATATTATTCTATATGGTTACACCTAATATATATACATCTTCCATACAGGGTCTCGTTACATATGCTGCTATTACCATTCACCCTATTAAGAAGCAAAACCAAAAACCAAACTAATAGATTGCTTTAGGTTTGAGGTGCAAGTGATGGCCTTGTATGCTGGATCATAGTATCTAATATTAGACTCTCTCACTATCAGTAGTATTATCATTGGATCATTTTAATGTCTTTTATCAGTACTAGGGTGCATAAGCGCCTACATCGTGGTTTTTACCTCAATATCTAATGTGCAATTATGTGTATAGAGTCTTAGTTGTATTATATGTATTATATCTTATATTATAATAATATTATTTTATCTTATTGTATTTATCATCATATATTACATATGTTCTATACATGATGCATAGATGGCGTTCATGTGAACATATGCCTATATGTCTCATATTTTTATACCCACCGGCAACACTACTGTCATATCCACTTAAGGAGATACACGCATGTGTATGTAGTGTATACACATGTATACATATGTTCATGCTGATGTCTTTTCACTTCAATACACCTCTGGAGTGCGGCAGCCAGGGCCGTCTGACCACCCCATTTGATTGGCTATGACGTGCACACAACAGCAAGTTCGCCAGAGGGGAATCCCCAGACAGTCCCCCCAACTAGAGCCTCGTCAGAGGATGGGGGCGGGGTGGCAGGTCTGGTATCTTGCCCAATAGAGCGGTGTTGGTGTACGCGCACAGAGTGGCCGTCAGATGCGCGTGAAGCGCGCTCACGTGATCGCGCCGACGGACCTGTCCTCCTCACACTGCGCATGCGCATGTTGGTCCACGCATGCGCAGTCATGACCATGCCATACTAGCGTGCGTTCCACACACAGGGTAAACCTGCAGCTATAGAGGGAAGCATAAGATCTCCCTCTGCTGCTGACCATACATTATTATGGATCCAAGATTACTGATCCAATCCTCTCCATCATCCGATCATGAAGCACATGCAGCTGCCTGGTAGCACACATCACACAGCTTCTGGTTGAAGGTTTGTGTGTGGGTTTATATGTCTACATATATATACATGTGTTCGTGTCACTATGGACACCTATCCATTAAGACATCCATTGACTAACAATTTATGTCTATTTTTACATTAATTGCTATATACTCATCCAGCATCATGACAAGCCCTCTGGATGAATTGTCCATTTGATACATCGCTCACTAATGAATCATGGAATAAGACTAACTATTTACTATATATTATGTTTCATCATTTATTATCTATTATCATCATTCCCATTGGTGTTCATCGCTAAGTTGATATATTACATGCATACTAAGTGGTGTATGCAAAATGTGGTTTTATATATTTTATATCTTATATTTTACGTTTGTCTATATCATTTCTCTCTGATGGCATTACAAATAGTGATTGTCTGTTGACGATATCTTGGCCCCTCCTACTAACCTGAGACTGCCCAACCCAGTGGGGAGGGCCTAGGTTCAGTCCAGGAGTATATATAGGAGAGAGCACTCACAGTTCAGTTAGCTCTGAGGAAGAAGGGACCCCCTTCGAAACGCGTCAGCTGTACTGAACACCTACTCCCCTGATGGGACTCATGTTAGCTTCAAGTCCCTGTGAGGACTTACATGCCTGATTTTATTCGCTGTTTGTGAGTATATTTTTTACAATTAATAAATTTTGGTTACTGAGGTAATGCGCAAGGTTGGTGCGCTTCTCGTTTTCATTCCACAGTGTCTCATGCCATGTGCCACTTTCAGGTCTCCTCACACTGCTGGTGTGTTGAATTTTTTGACATAGGGTGCTGGCAGATTACGGGCCTCCTATAGCTGCTGCCAGGCCCCTAATCTGCCATGGGCCCCTGTACCGCCTCCTCATGCTGCTGCCAGGTCCACAGTGTCTCATGCCATGTGCCACTTTCAGGTCTCCTCACACTGCTGGTGTGTTGAATTTTTTGACATAGGGTGCTGGCAGATTACGGGCCTCCCATAGCTGCTGCCAGGCCCCTAATCTGCCATGGGCCCCTATACCGCCTCCTCATGCTGCTGCCAAGTCCAGAGTCTGTCATGGGTCCCTGTACGGCCTCCCATTGCTGCTGTCTCCATCGCCACACTCTGCCATGTGCCACTTTCAGGTCTCCTCACACACTGCTGGTGTGTTCAATTTTTTGACATAGGGTGCTGGCAGATTACGGGCCTCCTATAGCTGCTGCCAGGCCCCTAATCTGCCATGGGCCCCTGTACCACCTCTTCATGCTGCTGCCAAGTCCACAGTGTCTCATGCCATGTGCCACTTTCAGGTCTCCTCACACTGCTGGTGTGTTGAATTTTTTGACATAGGGTGCTGGCAGATTACGGGCCTCCCATAGCTGCTGCCAGGCCCCTAATCTGCCATGGGCCCCTATACCGCCTCCTCATGCTGCTGCCAAGTCCAGAGTCTGTCATGGGTCCCTGTACGGCCTCCCATTGCTGCTGTCTCCATCGCCACACTCTGCCATGTGCCACTTTCAGGTCTCCTCACACACTGCTGGTGTGTTCAATTTTTTGACATAGGGTGCTGGCAGATTACGGGCCTCCCATAGCTGCTGCCAGGCCCCTAATCTGCCATGGGCCCCCGTACCGACTCCTCATGCTGCTGCCAGGCCCGTAATCTGTCATGGGCCCCTGTTGTCGCTTGTTGGCATATTCCGCTCGTTCAGATGCTCCTTCTCCTGCTACTCCTCTTCACGGATTCCGTCAGCAGTCTTTCTTGGAATCCGTTTCCAAGAGACAACAGTTTGCGAGCACGCACCCGACGGTGCAGAAGCTGAACGTCCTCCTGTCCAAGTTGCTGCTGCCAGGCTCGTAATCTGTCATGCGCCCCTGTACTGCCTCCTCATGCTGCTGCCAGGTCCAGAGTGTGTCATGGGCCCCCGTACCAACTCCTCATGCTGCTGCCAGGCCCGTAATCTGTCATGGGCCCCTGTACCGCCTCCCCATGCTGCTGCCAGGTCCAGAGTGTGTCATGGGTCCCTGTACGGCCTCCCATTGCTGCTGCCAGGCCCGTAATCTGCCATGGGCCCCCGTACCGACTCCTCATGCTGCTGCCAGGCCCGTAATCTGTCATGGGCCCCTGTACCGCCTCCTCATGCTGCTGCCAGGTCCAGAGTGTGTCATGGGTCCCTGTACGGCCTCCCATTGCTGCTGTCTCTATCGCCACACTCTGCCATGTGCCACTTTCAGGTCTCCTCACACTGCTGGTGGTTTCCATTTTTGTCATAGGGTGCTGTATGGCCTCCCATTGCTGCTGCCTCCACCGCCACACTGTAGCTCCACACTCTGGTTTTGGCCCCGTGACTGCCCAAATGAGTGAAGTGTGCGGTGATTCTAAGATCGACGGCACTCATCTGCATGTCATACTGACTGACAGTATTATTTCTCTTCCCCAGCAGACTCCAAGGGCATTTAAATTAAAGGTACAGTGTTCTGCACTAATATTAAGTCTCTCTGAAGCCTAGAAACACCCTTTTTTAAGTTAAATTCACAGCGAATATATTCGACTCGAATCAAAATTTTTCCACGAATTCGCCGAATCAGTCGAATCGAATTTTTGAATACTTCGCTCATCTCTACTCCTGAGAGCAATCTATTCTTTCTCAAACGTTTGTAGAAGCAGTCCGCATGCCTAGGTGCTTGATTTTATATACCTGTTACAATGAAGGTGATTGGAACACCTGAATCCAATGATTTGGAGGGGTGTCCTAATACCTTTGGCAATATAGCGTATGTGAAAACCCTCCTTAGGAACATATTTTATTCCACAGGCCATGACTGGGGCAGTGATCATTTTTTTACTGTTAAATTGTTGACGAGGGGGTGCACTGGACACCTTAGCTACCATTGTTCTACATGCTGGGTGTCCAGTGCATTCCTGTACCATTAAGGAGGGGTGGGATCCCTCAGGTCCCCCTTCCGTTGGTCTATTTATTAAATACATGTGCCTCTACTATGGCGGGTCTCAATTTGTATAGTTAGGAACTACAGAATATCAGGGTGCCGTGATGAGGCTCTGTAGCATTACATATGTATTTGCAAATACTGTATGTGCTAACTAAACCCCTGTTTTCAACACATACTGTTAGACAAGTTAATTTGGTTTGTTTGCAGGCTGGTTAAGCTGGGAATTTTTCTCTTTTGTTGTTTGACATGCGTCGCCCTTCTATGTGCTTCTTGCTGTGAAGGCCAGTTATAGAGACTGGGGCAATGGCCATTTTTTGTACTGTTGATTGGAGGGGTGTCCCAATACTTTTGGCAATATAGCGTGTATATATACACACACACACACACACACACACACACACACACACACACATATATATATATATTGTGGGAGCTCGCTTCAAACGGTAGAGCTCTTTCTTGTTAAAGCACACAGCAACTCGCTTCTTTAAGGGCTTTTTTGCCCACTTTTTTTTAAAAGAAAAAGTTCAACAAAAAATGCTTCCCACGCAGGGGTATCCACCATCAAGCAAATTAACAGTTTCAGCCTCCTGGCTTGTATGCAGTTTTAAGTCTGCCTCCTGCAGACTATTCCCAAAATATGGCTCTCGCACACAGCTAGTCTGGCTTCCACCTGACTCCAAGGCAGAGACCTCCCGTCTGCCGGGGTGGAGCCCTCCAGACTCCTATCTGCCGGGGTGGAGCCCAGAACCATGGTTAGGCCTCTATAAAAAGGCCTGCACACACCTGTGCAATCAGTGTGCTGGGGGTTCTCAAAACACGGACCCCGGATTGTAGATTTCATCCCTCCCAGATCTCTTTGAAATCTCCAGGCTCCAGATCCCAAAACAAACTTAATGAATAAATGAGGAAACCGAAAAGTCAGTTTCCTCTGCAATACATTAACTCTCTGGAGCCCCTCAACCTGCCTGGTTGAGAATCCAGGGTTTTCAGCTTTATTTTGACCGTGGCAGGACACCGCACTGCCATATATATATATATATATATATATATATATATATATATATATACATACACACACACACACACACACACTATTATTAATATTATTATTATACAGGATTTATATAGCGCCAACAGTTTGTTCAGCGTTTAACAATATAATGGGAGACAATACAGTTCAATACAAGCCTCGGAGCTTACAATCTAGGATATACCAACCTCTATGTCATTTATTAGTAAGTTAAACAGAATTGGTCCCAGGACAGAGCATTCGGGCACCCCATTTACAACTCCAGACCAATAAAATGATATGCTATTTATCACCAGCATTTGGAAGTGCTCCTATAATCATTTTTCTATCCAGGTACATACACTTTTGTCAATGCCAACAGACCTTAATTTGTAGATTATATGTTTATGGGGTATCGGATCAAATGATTTAGTAAAATTCAGATATATATATCTACAGTTTTTAAATTAAAAAAAACACACAGCGCCCAGGACCAATCTACTAACAAACAATTATAAGTGAAATGCTGCTGTGCATAGGTATATAAACCAAAACAAATTTTCCAATATAAACCAGCGCAAAACACAAATGTTAAAATAAATAAGTGATTATAAAATTATTATTTATAAATAATCTTTAAAGTCCAGTGATAAATGTAAGTGACCACAAACCCGTGACATTAAATCAAAAGTCCAGTGATCCCTAAGAAAACTTTCTAAAAAATAAACTTCAGTGCTTCAAATAATTCTTCCACCATCCACCAGTGCCGAAACCAACATAAACCGCACTCACCAGATAATGGTGAGTAAAACACCTTTCAGGATTATTTAGGGCTCCTGGACCCCTTTTTTTTGAGGACTCCTCTATTTTCCACGTCAGATCTATGGGTATTTCTCCACTCGTCTCCTCGCCGAATCACCAAGTTCCAAAAAGGAGAAAAAGACTAATAGTGTAATACTGTTATACCCCTTCTTAGTTAATTCAAGCCAAACCACTCACATTTCATAGGATAAAAACCAGCATTTATTTAAGGACATCAATCGAATTTTCAAACAGCAAAATGAATTTCCACAGCTCCTAGGAACTCACAGCCTTGTATACAGCAGGATGACAGCCTCCATAAAGAACAAACTTTCTCCACTAGTCAAAATGGCCGCCTGGAATGCATCCCTCGGCATGCGTTCCACTCACCGGAAATGACGTCGGGCGTTTGGGAGACCAACCGGAAGTACGTCAACGCGTTTCACCCCACCCACAGGGCATTCTCAAGACAAGTCTGTCATCCTGCTGTATACAAGGCTGTGAGTTCCTAGGAGCTGTGGAAATTCATTTTGCTGTTTGAAAATTATTTGAAGCACTGAAGTTTATTTTTTAGAAAGCGTTCTTAGGGATCACTGGACTTTTGATTTAATGTCACGGGTTTGTGGTCACTTACATTTATCACTGGACTTTAAAGATTATTTATAAATAATAATTTTATAATCACTTATTTTAACATTTGTGTTTTGCGTTGGTTTATATTGGAAAAAATATATATCTACAGGCCTTTCTCTATCCAGATTACAGCTTACTTCCTCATATAATGTTAATAGGTTGGTCTGGCAAGAACGGTCCTTCATAAATCCATGTTGGTTGCCACTAATAATTCCATTTTCATCAAAACAATCTTGAATATAGGTGTCCTTTTATGACACAAATAGCTGCGATTCAGAGGATTGCAGCTATTCTCTGGTCATTCACAGTTTATAACACTCAGGAGAACATGTTCATCCCTTCACCGGAGATCTGTGTTCTCCCTCCAGATTCTCCAGCCCAGAGCTGGAGAATCGGAGGGACCGCAAACTAAGCAGAGATATTTACCTCTGTTTAGTAAACTGATCTTTTACTGTAATCGCGCGAGATTATAGTAAAATCAGCTGTTTTCCAGCGTTTGTAGACCGTTCTCCCTTCGTTTGGAGAACTGATCTACATATGCTTCGTAAATGGCATTCACAGGAGAACTGTGTTCTCTGAGAATGCCGGAGAACTGAGCAGCGATCATTTACCGCTGGTTCATAAACGGACACCATAGTACTTTAACATTCCCTTCTGGCCTGTAGTTTTCAGGTATGTATCTTGGCCTTTTTTTAAAGTATTAGTACAACATTAGCTTTTCACCATTCAGCTGGTACCATTTTGATTAATAGGCTGTCTTTAAAGATTTGGAATAACAGTCTAACAATGACATGGCTAAGTTCTTTGAGGGTTCTTGGGTGTAAGCCAGCTGGTCCTGGTTATTTGTTCACATTTTCTACTTATCGCTGGTGCAATGCTTTACAGGCTCCTGCAGCAGAAAATAATAAATGCACATTTTTTTATCTGCAAAAAAAGTGCATTTTTTATTTGTAATTATTTTATTTGTTCAAATGACATACAATAAAAGAGCAAGTAGGATGCCAACTTAGGTACACAGAAGGACAGTACAAATGTCGAAGCATCACAATGTACTGTACATAAAATCAAGTAATACGAGGAGTTGTCAGAGCCACAGAAAAGGGCTCAAAGGACAAAGAACATAATGTGCCAGGTTGACCAGAACATGAGGCAAAAAAATGAACAAGTCATATTATAATAGTTAAGATTCATCCTGAAGTGACAAGGGTTATGGCAAACCTAGGATAATTTGAGATTTACTAAATGTTAAATTTTGAAAAACAGCATAAATGAGGTTTACAGTGTTCAGGCACCACCAACACCCAAGGCCCAATTTTTCTGCAGCTGTTTGACAGGTGCATGTAATTTCAATTTATTACAACTTTTTTTCAAATTTTTAACAATTTTTAACAGAAGTGCCCATTTCTGTGCTTACCAAGAGTAAGGCTAGGTTCACACCAATGCAATTTGCATTTGAGCCGTTTCTGCATTGCGTTTTACGTTGTGTTTTGCATTTTTGCACCTGTGTTTTTGATGCGTTTTGCAGTTTTTTTTCTTGTTGCTAGGCAGATTTAAACAGCAAAATGCATCAAAAACATGCCAAAAAAAAAACACACTACATGCTTTTCTGCAGTGTTTCCAATAAAATCTATAAAACCAAAATGCTACTTTTTGCATTCAAATAAGTTCCTGACCCTTTACAAAAAACGCACCTTGTTAAAACGCGGAGATGTCAATGTGCCCATAGGAAATCATGTTAAATGGACTGTACTGCGTTTCTTCAAAATGCAAAACGCTGCGGAAAGACACTTAGGTGTGAACTTAGGGTAACTGTGAGGGGTTACAGTGTTCAGGCGCCACCAACACCCAAGGGCCAAAAATGCGTGGAGTGAAAGTGCGTGGGGTTCCCTCTAAAAGCCATACCAGGCCCTTTAGGCCTTGTAGGAAAGGACTTTAAGGGGAACACCCACCCCCCATAATGGGTGAAAAAAGTGTGTGGTCCCCCCAAATACCTACCAGACCCTTGTTCAGAGCACAGGCCTGGCAGAGCAGGAAAGGGGGGGTAATCGAGGGCCCCGCCTCATGACTTACCAGGCCATGTTCCGATAGGGGTAA